AAACAGAACAGTTAACTATTTCTTTTAAAGTCAATAAGCTTGTAATATAATGAAAACATGAATATATTTGAGTAATATTTGAATAAACAATTTTTTTTATTAACCTAGGCTAGGAAGGTGCTGATAAATAATTGGTTCAAATAAGTAATTTTTCAGGTTTCATCAGAACATAGAAATAAAACCTTTAATTAAAAATAACAATAAAGTGGAGCTTTGCAGTTTAGGGTTGAGAGAATGTTACAAAGTAAATTAAAAAAAATAATAACTACTACTTGACTGTAAACTCTTGAGGCTTGAGAAGGTAAATTAAATAAAAATAAAAAAAACTTGGGCCTTTTCTTTATATAATAAGGCATCATAAATCTGCCTCGCTGGACCTCCTTGACTATACTAGTACTCAGGTTTAAATTTAAGCCTCATTGGTAATGGCCATGCTATCTGTTACCTATCATTAATTACACAGAATTTAACAAACTTTCAATTTTGAATCAGCAAATTAAAATTTCAATTTTAATTTGCTGATTAGATTGAGTATTTAAAACTCCTGAAAAAGAAAAAGTGCTTGTTACATTAACACCTTAAGTTCGTTACATTTGCAGCTTATATTATCTACAAATTTTAGGTTAAATTAATGATAACTCCAGGAACCGTTCTTCTTAACTGAAAACCTAATTTTAAACTAATGAGTACTTGTGTTAGCCTCAATCTACTGGTGACTTGTTAACCAGTAAAAGTTCCGTCATTCATTAAGTAAAAGCAGTACTTACTATGAATTTCCATAGTCTCATTCTACTGGTGACTTGTTAATTATTACAACAGAAGGGTTTCATTGTTCATTAAATAGAAGTGATGAGGCAAAAGACAATTAGTCTTGACATATACGTGGTAGTGGTGTAGTGCTCCCCTCATAAGTAAGAAACTCCAAGTTTGATCTTTACTATGTCTCTGGTAGTACCGCACTCAACTTGTTTCTCTGCGCAGCGGTAACCACAAATAAATTAGCCTCCTCAACTCTTGTGGTCTCCTTGGTCTTGGGGAGGTGAATTAACATTAAAAACTATATATCAATCAGTAAAGAAAACTCTTAAAGAGCAAAAACAACTTAAAAAACTATAATTTGTATACATACTATAAAACTATAACTTTTAATAAGTTTGTGTGAGAACAAATTTGTATAACAGGTGAGAATTCTATGGCACTGATGTTTAAGAAACAAAACAAGATGTTAAAATATTTTTTAAAATCTTTGTTATTTTTTAACATTTGGAAAAAATTGAGTAATATTTAAATACAACATTAGAAAAATTGGACTATTTTTAAACCACAATTTTTCGTTCAGCATGACTTGTTGGAAGTGAACTTGTTAAAAATAAAAAAACAAAAAACAAAAACATAATAAAAAATAGTAACTCTGCTCGGGCATTTTGGTTCTTTATATTTGGTGAATTAAGCTGGTTTTTTAGTTTTTATCTAAAATATTTGATTTGGATATTTATACATACCAAATATAGTATACACAATTGTACTATGTGCTTATCTGTCTATGTAGCTGTCAACTACAGAAAAAGTGCCCGTCTACAGTGAAATGTGATTTTGCATATTTGTTATAAACAAGTTATAGGCAAGTTTTTATTATAGTTGTTTATTTGCGCAAATTAAAAATATTGAATATTAATGAGAAATTTTTTTTTTATTATCATCTAATTATATAATGCCATACCACTAATGCTACTGCTAATCATTTGCTACTCATTTTTCTTTGATTTGTATAACTTTGTTGATTTTTCTATACTTTCCTATCTCTTAACCTTCGTTGATATTTTTTATACTTTCCTATCTCTTAGCTGTTGTTGATTTTTCCTATACTTTCTTATCTCTTGACCTTTTGTCAAAACAGGACAATCAATATTTTTCAAGACAAGAGTATAAAGTTGAGTCATCAGCAAAAAGAGCTACTCTAGATTGTCAGGAAGATTGTTAATGCAGATAAGAAACAACACAGGACCAAAGATAGAACCTTGAGGTACCTTAGAAGTTACTGGAAATGGAATTGGTCTTCAAGGATGACTTTAATAAAGCGCTTAGAAATAAATGATTTGATAATCTCAAAAACTATTTTATATGAAGCAAGCTTATGGAGAAGACTAGCATGCCAAACTTTATCGAAAGCTTTAAATATGTCAAAAACAATAGTCTTTGTTTTGCTGCCTCCACCTTTTTTTATTTTTTTTTATTTTAATACACCTCCTCAAGGCCGAGAAGGCCACTACAGACGAGGAGGCTACTTATTTGTGGTTATAACCCTCTCTCAACTCTATAACTCCTAAACACGAACCTTGACGAGCGAGGCCGCTGCGCGGAGAAACGAGTTGAGCACGGTACTACCAGGGACGTGATGGGGATCGAACTCGGAACCACTCGTTTATGAAGCGAGATCTCTACCACTACACCACTACCGCATAAAAATAATCTAATAAACGATATTATCTTTCAGTCATAGCAGTAAGCAAGTCAAGTATAGAACGAGAAGGTTGAAAACCATTTTCATCAATATTAAAGTATCATATAAATCACTATTGATTGTCAGAGAGTAAGTTATTAGACTCAAGATAGAATGTTAGAAATTTGTTGATCAAAGACTCAAAGACCTTGCTAATAATAGAGAGAAGATTGGACAATAGTTAGTGGGGTCAGAATGTCCTAAAGAGTTTTTAAAAATTGGAACCACAGATACCATTTTCTGGCAGGTAGGAAAACAAGATTCAATCAAGCACTTACTACTTACTGAATAGTTTAGAAAGAATTGAAGAGAGTTCTGGAGAACCCTATTGCAAGACTATGACAGGAATGCTGTCAGAACCACAAGCCATAAAAGAGTTTAATTGAGATATGACATTAGCAACAGAAGCTGAAGTAATTTTGATGTACCACAATGGCTTAACATGTTAAAATATAATGGCCATTTGATTCAATAATCAAGTTAGAAAAGTTCTTTGCAAATAGATCAGCCTTATACTTAGGAGAGGTAACAAAATCAGACCCATAAATTAGAGAGGGAATGTTAGACCTTCACTTGTTAATGACACTGTTGAAAATTTTTCAAAAATCTCTAGAAGCTAACTTCTAAGATAGGATACAAGATTTGGAAAAAAGAACTGGAAAAATGGAGCTTAGCATTAAATATCACCTTTTTACATTGATTTTTTGCAATATAAAAAGACATTTATTCTCAAGAGCGTTGTTTTTTTGAAAAAAAAAAGGAAAAAATGATTACAATTAGATGTAGTAGTTGCACAAGAAGGTAAAAACCTTGAGTAGTATAAGGCTAGACTTGAAGTTTATGAGAAGGAATAAAAGCATTAAAACCTGCCTGAATCCAAGAGGTTAAGGCACACTTATCAGTGGAGAGATATAGAAAAAATCAACAAAGTTATATAAATCAAAGTAAAAAATCATTCTCCCACTAAATATAACAACTCTCTAAATATCTTATTACATTAGGTATAAATAGGTTAGCAAATATGACAAAAATTAAAAAATTTAGATAAGTTTTTTATCTATGTTCTCTTCAGCAACAGTTTCTCACATTTTTTTTTCAAATGCTCCGTGTCAAAACACATACAAATGAGCAGCAGTAGCAGTAGTGGTATGGCATTATATAATTAGATAATAGTAAATATAAATTTTCTCATTAGTATTCAATACTTTTAATTTGTGCAAATAAACAACTATAATAAAAACTTGCCTATAACTTGTTTATAACAAATATGCAAAATCACATTGCACTGTAGATGGGCAACTTTATTGTTGTTGACAGCTACATAGACAGATGAGCGCATAGTAGAATGTACATATGGTATGTATAAATATCCAAATCCAGCGTATACACATGATATGTATAAATATCCAAATACAAATATTTAAGAAAAAACTAAAATGAATGGCAACCCTTTCACTGATTTCTCTTCTTTACATCTTGGATTATCATACATTACTGACCTCTCATAAAAACCATATGTACAATCAATTGCAAAGTTAGCGCCTTTTAAGTTTGCTTCTTTTTATCGTGCTCACCATTATCTTACTCCTGATTCCATTCTCTACCTCAACAAATCTTTTATTCATCTCTGTATGGAATACTGAAGTCATATTTGGTCTGGTTCTTCTAATAATGCTTTTTCTTTTCTAGACAAGGTCAAAAAATGAATTGTAAATGTAGTTGGAACTGCTCTACTGCCAAGCTTAAGTCACTCTCACATTATCATAAGGTTGCATTACATTCTTTTCTACGAAAATCTCATAGTTGCTACTCAAAGGAGCTACCATCTGCAGTTCCATCAACCAAAACTCATTCTCCTTTTGACTAAAACTATTTATTTTTTTTTACTTAACCAAAAGAGAAAAGAAAATTTTTTTTTTTTACTTAACAAAAGAGAAAATTAAAAAACAATTTAACTTCTACAACGATTATTTTTATTGATGTCAACAATGCATATTGACATCTTTTGACATTTTGATTGGTTACACTTGATTTAAAAAAAAAAAAAATCTACAAGCTGGAAATTTCCTTAGTGAAAAAAAATATGGCATTTAAAAGTGAGAGATTTTTTTGTTATTTTCTTAATAAATAATTTGTTTAAGAAAGTCTAAATATGAATAAAACTTGTCTTTATACTTGAAGATCATTTAAAAATAGCAATTTTTAGATAAAATTAAAAAAATAATAATAAAAAGTAAATTTTAGTTTTTATTATTATTTTTTTAATTTGTTTTGTTAATACAACAACTGTCTTTGTTGTATTAACAAATACTTTTTTTTTTACACATGTATACTCAAAGAAATACAACTTACATTTTGTGCACCCTCTAACATGAATACGCATACAACATTTGTTGTTGCAAGATTTAGGTATTACTTTTATATACTTTGCTAGGTACAAACTTGAAAACCAGTTAATAGTATAAGGAAATATGCGCCCTTTACTTCCAATATATAAATTCTAAAAAAATTAAATAACTAAAAAGTGGTTAACTAATTAAACTATCATATAATTTATTTAATATGAAATATAAATGATATAATATTTATAGGATGCACAACAAAATTATTATGATAAAATATTACTACATTCACAGAAAATTAAATATTCATAATTATAATTATACCTTCAGAGTTTATAAATCACAATAGAAAACTAGATTTAAAAAGTAAAAAATTAAAATTATTTAATATTTTTATTTGTTTTGAATGATAACAGTAGTTAAATATAGATTTAGTAAAAACTGCTAACAAATTTTGGTGCCTAATGATATAAAGTTTTGTGTCTAATGATATAAATTTTTGTGTCTAGTTATATAAACTTTTGCGTCTAGTGACATAACACTTTGCATTAGATAACTTTTTCATACTATTTTCAATGTTAGATGGTTTATTGCTTATTTTTTTAAATTTGGTTTCTTATTATCTTTTTAGTTCATGGCTCCTGAAAGAACACACAAATTCACCTTAACTTAATGTTTACTAAATGAAATGGTCAAAGGTGTTGCTTTTTGTTTAGAAAAAATTATGAAATCATGATAAATTTAAAAATTTTAAAAAGCAACAGGTGTTGACCACATGATTTACTTAAAAAAAAACAAAATTTGAATTACAAAATAATCCATCATACTTTGAAACTTAATAATAAAACTTAAAATTACTACACTAAGTTTAGTAATTTAAAAAATTGAAAAATAGAAGGATAGCTTTTTATAGTATGGGTTAAATTAGGAGCTATTTAACAAAAAAATCATTTGGATAAATTCAGCTCTATTCAACAAAAACTAATTTGTTAACTTCTAACAAATAAAACAGGTTAAAAGGTAAAACAGGTTATTGTTCATAACAAAACTTTATTGTCTTACATGTTTAAAAAACTTATCAGTAAATTTACAAGTCTATCTTTGCATCTTATAGAGTCTGTTTAAGACAATCCATGTCTTCAAGCTATGTAAGTCTTGATTATAGACTAAACTCATTAAAAAAAAAAAGTTAATTAGGAATTTTTTACAAAAACGAATGACTAGAAAATTTTCCAGACATTTTTTAGATCTTATTAAAACTAATAAACAAAAGTTTTGTTCAATATTGCATAATATACATTTACAGTTAGTTAATCTCAACACTGAAAATAAAGTAGAATTTAGATAAAAGTAATGTTTTCTTTATATATACTGTATATGAAGACAACACAGGTAAAAACATAGATGTCCAATTTTTGAAAATTTCAAGTTTCAAGATATTTTATGATATTTTAGTACTGAGCTATTTAAGTTTCAAAAATCATTTCAAAACAAATATGTTATAAGGTTCTATGGTCATTATAAAAAATTTGACTAACCTTATCCAAGTTATTTATAACTAAACCAATTATAATAAAAAGATAAGTTACATAAATAACTTTTATCTTTAAAAAAAATGTTGGTTAATGTAAACAACACCATGTTAACAGAAAAACATTTTAAAAAAATAGTTAAAGGAGGAAATAAAGGTTCAAGATCTAAGATTGAAAAATAATGTTACAAGAATACCATGTAACTGTGTTAATCTAAAGTGTTTCAAAATTAAAGTAGACGATAACAGAGTAAAAATTATATCACATATCAACAATTTAAGGACAATAATGAGCAGGATTTGGATATTTCGTCCCTTATAATTGTGTAAGGGGAATTAAAGAAATTCCATCAGTCACTGATATGTGAAAATAAATAATTAAATTTTGAATAATATTTTTAAATATAATAAGGATTTTACATAAGAATTATTCAACACTTACAATTTTATATATATATATATATATATATATATATATATATATATATATATATATATATATATATATATATATACTTATTAGGGCCCTGCAAAGCTACAAAATTTCTAATCGAATCAAAAATATGATTCAAGATATGATTCAAAAATTTTCAAAAATCGAATCCTTTTCGTTTTAGTTGTGGGTATTTTAGATATTCTGAGCTTTGACCCCACCAAAATAACGTTACTTATCCTTAAATACCTTTTTAGTCAGTTATTAAAAAGGTTAACCAGGGCAAGCATCAATAAAGAGATTATACAATTGTTTTATTTTATTTTATTTTGAAATATATATTATTAAATAAAAAATGCTTAAATTTAGTCTTCAAAATGTTGATTTGAACCGTGAAAACATTAAGCAGTAATTAATTATTATAAAACCGCAATTATGAAATTTTATTTTTGTAATAAAAAACATATAGTTACATATATTTACCGCAATTATAACAACATATATTTACCGCAATTATAAAATACTTTTTTTTGTAATAAAGAAACATATAGTTAAATAAACTTTTTTTTACTTTTTTTTAAAAAAAAATTAAATTTATTTTATTATATTTAAATTAAATTTATTATTAAATATTAACAAATTTAAACTTGCTTTACTAAATTTTTTAAAAATTTAAATTTTTTTAAAAATTGAAAACGCTTTGTTTTATTTTATTTTTTTTGTTACTGTTAAAATTTCTAAACTATGTTAAAGAAAATTCTTTTTAATAAATTTCAGTTACTTTTTTATGTTTGTTTTACATTTAGCCATTATGTTTATTTATAGTTACAAATCAATAACTTTTTTTCATCCAGTTACTGAAGTGCTAATATGCAAAAGTGTATAATACACTTTTAACTGTGTATAAGTGCATTGCTGGATAAACCCAAATCATGCCTGTTGTTTTAGTCAAATTTATATAACAAATTTATGAAAATATAATTTTTTTAGTTTTGAAAACTATCCACTATCATTAATTTTTTAGATTGACCTTAGAATAAACGTTAATTAGAAATGATTAACAAGTTTATGAATAGTAGGCAAGACTTTGTTAAAACCAAAATATTAAAAAAAATTAATGTCAGTTTTTACTTCTTTATTTTTAAACCACTTAAAAAAACCTGTAAAATAGTATGAAATTAAAAATATATGTTGAGGAGAAAAATTATACGATCGCAAATTGCAATGGACCAAAGTCAATTAGCAATCTGAAGAGCATATTATTTGAAGCAATTACAATCTCTAATTTTTATACTTCTAGGGAAAAGTTTCAACAAAAAAAAGTTTAACCCTGTTTTAAAATGATGTTGATACAAAGTAACTTAGGCAGGCAAATATCTTATTTACAACTTATAATTTGGATCAACAGTTTGTTTAAAGTTGTAATAAGTTTATTTTAAAGTTGATAAAAAATTAAGTAATAGACGGTTAAGAACTTCACCTATTAACGATTACCCCTCATAAAAAAAAAAAACTAAATTGCAAAAAGCTAACATAAGGTGATAATTTTGTGTTATGAATATTTTAATAAATAAATAGTGCAAGTATATACTAGCTGCCCTTTATAAGCATGTGTTTTTTTCTAAACCAGTAGTGTGGTGTTTACTCACTGGTAAGTTGCTATCAGTAAGATTGTGATTTATCTGAACCCCTGGCGCAGTGCTCAATCACCCTAAAGTTACTATATGCGTGCTTAAAATGCAATATATTATATTTTGAAAGAAGACATTATAAAACTAAAATATTACTTTGCATATCTTATACAAGTTAAATATTTTAATGCAATTTATTATTTTTGAATTTTCTATGTTGTTTTTTTTTCAAATTGTTTGAGGAGGACAGAAAACTTTTTTTGCAAGAATGTTTTATGAATATTTGGGTATTTTCAATAACTTAAGAGCAAACTTTAAGAGAGATTTAACTTTCTGTTGGATGTTACCTTTCTGTTAGCATTTCATTATGAAATAGTTTTGATTTTAGAATAAGCGTTGTGCGTAGCTCTGCAACAACGCTATGCAACAAACAAATCAGTTATAATTCAGCAGCATTAAACCTCTTTAATACATTACCTATAAAGTTACAATGACTTTTTAAAACTGCGTACAATACTGTTATTAAAATGAAATAGTCTAAATTTTGCATAGATAGTCAGTAGATTTAAAAACAAGTAACACTTGCTCATTACCATGTACTACAGAGCATATTAAACTAGAAAAACAAACTCAAATAGACAAATATTAGGTACAAATGATGTGCAGTAAAGAGGCTAAGTGTGTTGAAATGCAATGAGTAAGGGACCATTGGTCAGATGTCAATAGAATTTAATCGTAAATTAGACTGAAGATTTTGAATTAATATGAAAAAAAAATTGAACTTAATATCAAATATCTGCAGTGATACATATAAAATAAATTTTTACAGATAGAAGCTAATATTTGCATTTTTTTAATTTTTTAACCATGCTTTATACAAAGTATACCATGTTTTATACCAAACATTAGTGAAAAACAGTGAATGACCTCTTAAACTTTGGAAAAAAACTGTACAAAGCTCTTTACACCACAACATCTTGTCCCAATTGTTTTTTTGTAAAGCTTAATAAGATTACTGCTTATACGTCTCGCTACCATTGTTTTGAGTCCCAAATTTGTCAACTATTTAGTATAAATAATTTTTAATTTAGGAGCTAATTTAATAAGTTATTTTACATCTTTTGCTAAATTTGTTTTGTAATCAAGTATAGATTTTTTAATTGGTTTTACTGACTAAATTGTATTAATTAAGTTTGTATTCTTAAAGTTCATACCATGCACTCTGTACCATAAACTATGTTTTTTTCTAACTAAATTCTTAAATTGTCTATTTATTATTTGTCTATTAATGCATGGCTTTTGAATAGAACTAGTTGGTTGAAAGTTGCAAGAAATATATTGTTTACAAGCTTATTCGTAAACTTTTAAAAAGTATTCATAACATTGATTTTTAATCATTTTATCAATAGTTTTAACATTGTTTGTTTTATAAAACATAAAACTCATCTCATTAAATTTTCATTTTATAAAATTAAATCTCTTACTGTTGAACTTTTCGTCACATAAGTTGAGCAGGTTAGTTTCCTATTTTAAGATGTAATGGGTTTTAGTAATTTGAACAAG